TTTAAAAAATTGTACTGTAGTTTTTTTTTAATAATTTTGATTGCAAATTTTTGAAATAATTAAATTCCTCAGAATTTTTTTTTTGTAAAAATAATTGAATTTTTCCGAAGAATTTTATTAGTTATGAAAATAATTGTATTCTTCCAATGAATTTTACTATTTATAAAAATAATTGAATTTTTCCAAACAATTTTAATAATTATGAAAATAATTGAAATCTTATCAAGAATTTTATTAAAATCTTTTAATAATATACAATTTTGATTGACCGATATTTAAAAAATTTATCTTTAAATCAATCTAATAAAAATTAATACAAAATAATAAATAATCATAATTAATTAGTAAATTAGTTAATAATTGCATTTTTAAAAATTTTGAATCTGAAATTATTCAAAAATTAAAGTTGTTCTAAAATTGAGAAAATCGGGTGCGAATAGATTTTAAAACACTTCCTGGAGAAAGATGTAGACTTATATAGAATTCGTTGCGGAGACGAGATCAAGACATGAACGTTTATTTTCACTTTATAGATTCTTGTAAATGTTCTTGTAATGTCTGACATTAAAAATAGGAACAAAATGTAATTTTATATTTTCTCTTCATATTTTCGTTATTTTTGCACTGAGAAAAGTTTTCGATTCAATTCTTTTTCAAAAAATATAGTATAATTATTCTTTCGGGGAAAATATTCCACATTTGGAAATTCATATTTTTGAAGTTTTTAATTTTTTTTAATTATTTTAATTTTAAAAAAATTTAATCGTTAAAAAATACATTTTTATGAAAATTGTTTTTTCAAATTTAGAAATTATTCGTTTACCAATACCGAAAATATTCAATTTTTGCAAATTCATGTTTTTAAACGTTTTAAGGATCTTTTTTAAATAAATTTAATTAACTGCAATTAATTTTAATTATTTTAAAAGTCTTTTGTCGTTTAAAAAAAATAGGTTTGAAATAGAATTAAAAAGTACGTTATAATAGGTTTACATTAATTTCAAAAAAAATTTATTTAAAATATATTTAAAATACACAATAAAAACTTTACAAAACGTTTAAATTAATATCAACACAGGAAAAAAAAAGTCTGACTCCGTTTACACCTTAAATTCAGCCCATGTATTTCACATAAGTCTGTCCTTGTCTAACGGGGCTGACTCCGTTTACACCTTAAATTCAGCCTCAAAAAGAGGCTGAAAGTAAGACTTTTTTTTTAGTGTGAAGGAATATAATTATTTAAAATACATTTAAAATACGTTTAAGAATTAGTTTAAAAAAGTACGAAAAACAAAATACTCTCTTGCCTTTAAAATTCGCTTGCCTGGTGTTTTTGGGAAAATTTCAAATATTTCTTCTCTTGAATACATTGCACATTATAAAGTACGCGCATACATATCTCGATCTCCATTTATTTGGAAGTCATTTGTAATTATGTTATTGCATGAGCGCGCTTTTCAATATCGTAGTTTTATAATTATAAACATTATACATTTATATTGTATATATGTTGGATTGCCTCATGCGTTTCTTTCATTCTTTCTTAATACCGTCCTATTATGTATATAATTCTTTTTTGCATTCACTGATTTAGTTGCACGATTCCAATTCTCTCTCTCTCTCTCGCTATTTTTTTTTCTTTCTTTTTTTCTTTCTCTTCGTCTATTAAAGAAGATCAAGAAACGATTTACAAGGTTCTATCGTTGGGAAATTACAGTTCCTCTATGCTGACCTTCGCGCTCAATTAAGCCGCTTATTGACGTATTTTCAGACTAGCAATGTCTGTAATTTGCTCTCCAAATCACTCGCATTTTCTGTCTCCCAAAATTGGTTTCAATTTCTGCGAAAAAAAAATTTCTACGTCTATCTTGATTTTTAATTTTTTGGTTAAAAAATTTTTTGGTATCAAATATTTTGTATAGCACAAAAATATTTCCTTCATTCGAGGACTCAAAGTTTGTCGAAAAAAAAGAGAAAAAAACTTGTGAATAATTTTAAAAGATAAATATAAAATCCTTTTTTGGAGCTGACTTAAATTTAAAATACACCTCATAGCTGAATTTAAGTTCGTTATACTCTTGTTATGAAATAGTATCTCGAGTCTGAGTTCCAATTACAACAAGGAAAACAGTTTTTGAAGAGTAAAGTTGGTTTCTTTTTACCACTTTTTTATTACCGTAGGGGAGAAACCATCAGGAATTTGGTTCCAAAAAAATTAATAGCCTTTTTTTGTTTTTTAAGTGAGCTGTGAACGCGGATTTTTTAAAAAAAAAAAAAAAAAACATTTGCTGATTTGAAGAATAACAGAAATACCCATGTATAGAAAAGAGAAAGAGAAAAGATTGTAACAACACTTGAATTTATCGCTCAGTCCAGACTGTCTTCCTACGTTGTCGAAACATTCGTATTAACGGTACGTGTCATCACGATTACGAAGGACTTTGGGTAGGCAACAGGTTTGGATTATTCTCAACAAAATTCATGCCTATTACTGAACTTCTTTCTTGAATTCTAAAAAGTTTTTCTCTCTTCTTTCGAGAAAAATGAATTTTTCTATTTTTAGTTACAATTTTTGATGTTTATTGTATTTTCGATTTTTAATATTTTCGTTTGTTTTTTCAATTTTTGGTATTTTCTGATATTTTCAATTCTTAATATTTTCAACTGTATTTTTCGTTCTGGCTATTTTCGATATTTTCAATTCTTAATATTTTCGACTGTATTCAGGCTTCGTACACAACTCCAAAAATATACTATTTACTACTATTTTTACGATTTGATACCATTTGGATACTTTTTTTTAGACTTGCAACACTAAGAGCTAGATTTTTCTACTTTTTTTTAATTTGCACTGCATTAAATCCGCTAATAGTTGAAATTAAAAAATTATTTTAAAAAATCTTAATAGAATTCTAAAAAAAAACAATTCAAAACTTTTTTATTTTAATAAAAATTCTCGAAATAATTAATAATATTTAAAAATATTGTAACATTCTCTTAAAGAAATCAATTCTTTTAAACAATTTTAATAAAATTTGACCATAATATTAATAGAAATTCAATTATTCAAAAAATTCAAATTCATTATAAAAATTCAATTATTTTCATAAATAAAAAAATTCTTCTGAGGAATTCAATTATTTTGACAAATAATAAGATTTTTAAATGAAAAAAATCCAAAATGCCTTCCAAAAGTTCAATTATTCTCAAAAACAATAAAATTTATAGCAGGATTTTAATTATTTAAAAAAATTCCAAATGCGTTGCAAGAATTCAATTATTTTCACAAATAATAAAATTCTTTGGAAAAATTCAATTATGTATTTTAAAAATTTGCAATCAAAATTATTAAAAAAAAATACATTAAAAATTTTTAAAAAACAAAGAAGTTCTTCAAAAACTTTAATATTTAGGTACGAAAACTTTAATACAATATTCATTAAAATAATTTAATTTACTATCAATAATTGAAATAAAATTCTTAGCAAGATTTCAATTATTTTCATAATTTTTAAAATATTTCACAGGAATTCAATTATTTTTACAAATAATGTAATTTGTAACATGAATTCAATTATTTAAAAAAAATCCAAAATGCGTTGCAATAATTCAATTATTTTCAAAAATAATGAAATTTATAGCAGGATTTTAATTATTCAAAAAAATTCAAAATGCGTTGCAAGAATTCAATTATTATTTTCATAAATAATAAAATTCTAGGATTTGAATAATTTTTATAATATTCTTCATAAGAATTAAAATTTAGACAATAATCAGTTATTCATTAAATAAATTTAAAAAATTAAATTAAATTTCTAATTATTTGGAAATTTTCTCAAATTGAATTGAAATAAATTTTTTATTTTGAAGAATTTTATTTTTTTTACATTTAAAAATTATTTTTCAACATTAATTGTATTTTTGAGGAATTCTAATAAAAAATTTGTAAATAATTGAATTAACAAAATATTTTTTATGGAAATCAAAAAAAGTTAGGGGTAATACAGAATGAAAATTTTCATTCGTTGTCATTAAAGTCGTTAAAGCTACTGTTTGATACATATTTTAAAATAATTATTTATCGAGTGCGAAGCTTGCTGTATTTTCAACGCAGGATACTTTAAATTCTTAATTTATTTTCGTCTGCATTTTAATTTCTTAGCATTTTCATCTGTATTTTTAATTCCGAATATTTTCTTCTGTATATTTTTAATTCATATAATAATTTTTGTCTCTATTTTCAATTTTTCTTGTTTAATTCTTGTTGAATTATTTTATTGTTGATTGAATTTGAATACTGAAAATTAAATTTTAATTTTCACAGGATGGAGATAATTAGGTCAAACTCTTGATCATCATCGACAGTTCTTCTGAATTTAATGACGGTATCATATTTCATCGGACAAAATTCTAGAGCTCATCTTTAAACGTGCAAATTCGTAATTTATTGCAACAATCGTTTTCCGCTAATATCTATTCATGACTTACCTAATGAAGGTGCATCATATTTCATCATGCAAAATTCTACACTTGAGAGAAGAAAATATAGAACAATCATCTTTCCGTTATCATCCTTTGGGTCTCAATTTAAGAGTTCATTCTGAAGATGATAATATTTTGTCCGGACCTATTTTGTCATTATCGAAGGAAATTATCGAGACAATATTATATATTACATTAACCAGTTAATTTATTATAACCAGTTAATTTATTATATAACCGAGTTAATATTATATTAACGAATAATTAACTATTATTCATATGATTAGTTGTGGTTCAACAACCTTTACCATCCCATGAATGATGGTTTTTATGTAAGTCTTTTCCACTGCACAGTTTTCTAGCAATGCTTTTGAATATCTATATATTCACTGCGTGTAAAGGTAAACAAAGTCCTGGAAGAAAGTTGTCTGCCATTGTTACCTGAAAAATCTACCTGTATATTGAGAATATTGATGGAGGAAAGGGAAAGAGGAGCGTCAGCGGGTACTTCTTTGGACGATTTAAAACGTTTTTGAAGGATACCTTGTAAATCTAAGAGAGAGAGAGAGAGAAGAAGAAGATTGTCAAGAGAGTTAGTTCTCTTAAAGATAAACAGCCCAAGAATGATTCACCTGTAAGCTAAATAGTGCTTCCAGAGTCCCATGGACCAGGAGACGGTGTGTATTATATAGTGTGTTTGTGATTGGTCCTCGCACACCGGTCCTGCCAACGTGAGACCTCTCGCCGGTGTGCCGCCATGTTGCACCGCGCAATTCTTCGACTAGTCGCCTGCTGACCGCGACCGGGCTAACGTCAGCCTTATGGAAACATGAACTGAGCTCGGAATGATTTCTCGTCTTGTTCTTCTAGTTTTTTTTTAATTCCCCCCCCCCCTGAAAAAAAGAGTTGCCCCCCCATTTTATTCATTGAGGATTTTAAAGAAGAATTTTTGCCTCCTCCAAAAAAAGGTCGCGTCGGTGGTTTTGTAGTTTTATAATTCGCGTCAGTTTTTTTTTCTTTTTTAATTTTGAGGTTTTTGTTGATTTGTTTAAAAATCGGTTTGATTTTGAAAAGTGATTCTTGGTGCGTGGCAGTGTGTGAGAAGAACACCACGGGGGTGTGCGATGGCGCTGGCTGCGGAATCGCGGCGGCCCTGCACCGTCGCTTCCGGTGGTGATCGTGTAATCGGAAGTAGCGGAGGCTCCTACTTCCGAAGAATCAGGACACCTTGTCTTTTCGCTCTCGGAATCTTTCTTCTTTCCCATGTGGCAGTTATCAGTGCTATTAAAGAAATCGGTATGTCTATTCGTATTTTCTTTTTTTCTTCTTTTTCTCTTCTTTTTCGTTTTGAATCACTTTTTTGTGTCCGATTTTCCCCCGAGGATTTTTTCCCTGAAGCTTTTTTCAAAATTTAAATTTTCCAAAACAATTAGAAAATCAATCATTCAGCGAAATTAATTTGACAATTTCCGTCAAAAAAGAAATGAAGTTCAAGGGGAAATATTTAAATATTTGCAAAATCGTATGGAAGTAGTTTGACAAAATTGCGGCCTTTTATCTCAAATCATCAGGAGAAATTATAGATTCACGAACCACATATATTCTTGTTCTCCTCTAAAGATCGACCATTCACCTTTTACGTTTATGTTGCACGAATCACTGCTCATGAAACGATAATATTCGTCGTAAATTTTTTTTTGTATTCATAAAAACGTGACCTAAAATTTCATATACAGTCGAGGAATTTTTTTTTTTCATTGAAATCATCCGTTTCGAAGAAAATAACGTAATTTTCTATTTTTCAAAGTTGTTCGAAATTTTGGAACTCATCAAAAAGAATATTTTGCATCTAGTTTCTCATCGTTTTCTAATTTTTTTCCCTTTTTCGATTTTAATTTCTTCTTATTAATTTTTTTCTTTCTAACGTCCGTTTTGAACGTTCAAATGAAGGAAATTTATTTATTTCTTCTTGAAATTAAAATTTAATTTCTTTTTCGATTTTAAATTCTTCTTTTCTTAATTTTTTTTCTGAAACAAACGTCTCTAAAATTCTGAACGTTCGAATGAGGGATTTCTTCTCCTAATTAAAATACAATCGCATTCGTATTCCGAATCAAAAATACTAAACGTTTAATTTTGTGTTTGCTTTTTGTAAAAATATTTCCTTTATTTGAACGTTCAGAACTTATGGATCATGACAATGATCCATAAATTCTCGAACGTTCAAATAAAGGAAATATTTTTTTTCTACATCTTCTCACTTTTTTTTATGATAAAGAAAAAAATTTCTGGAAACAAATGTTTGTGTCTACAGTGAAAGTTGGGAAAATTATTTAAATGATTGACGGGGAATAATTATTATATTTAGCTTCTGACAATGAGAAATAGTGCGTTTACTATTTTTGTATCAGAGGTAACTTTAACGATACAATCGTGAAATGTTGGATGAGGAATAATTTGACCCAGGATTGTTGACCTACACTCCTTGTGAAATCTTGCAATAGATTTCACACTATTCGACACGCTTCTGATGGATAAGTAAGGCGACTATAGGAATAGTGTTTTTTTTTCTTTTTTTTTTTTTTGCGAAAAGAACTTATATATCTGTGTCCACTACCGGGATGTCACTTTCTCGATCGAGATTCAAGATGCAGTTAAAACCTGCAAAAGCATTAGAGAGCTACCGTGTATATATTTTATTGTACATAGAAAACCTGAAAAATAGTTAACGGAATACTTTTGAAAACGGTAATTTTATTTTCTTTATATATTTATCAGAGGAATTGTGAGGAAAGGTCTTCTCCTTTTTTTTGTCTATTCGAATTAGAGAGTTTCAAGAAGAACAAAAAAAAATAATAAGGGAACTAAATAAATTAACTGAATTAATTAGTGTTTGTTACATTTAATTCAGAGAAATGATTTCTTTTCACAATTTGTTCTTTTTCGTGCAACCGAATTTTTTGGTAGTTCTGCTTTTTGTTTTGTATCTTCAAACTTTTAGAAAAGTTTCAAGTTCGTTTCAAAAAGTTTTTGGATGTTTGTGTCTTTGAAAATTAATTTTAGTTAGCGTTCAGTTAATTTTAGTGGAGGTACTGAAAAGTACAGCAGGGAAAGTTGTTGTTTTTTCGGAACAGATCTTCAGTTGGCATTTAGTTAATTTTTTTAGAAGCAAATACTTGAAGGAATAATTACTTTTGTTTCGTTTTCTTTCTATACGTCATCATAAATTCTCACAATTTGTATGAGAATAGCTTTTTATAGAACTTTATTCGTGAAAATTGATTTCCGTTATCAAGGGGACGAGGAGTTAATGATTTTTTAACAAATGTTATTAAAGAGTGTTAAAGGCAATTCCTAAATGAATCTAAATGTCAGAGTCACCAAGAGACCTAGCCACCACAGGCTAAAGGTTAATTTAGTTTGTTACATTTTTGGGTCATGGTTGTCTCTCAATAAGTAACATTGATTAATCAATATAGATTTTCGTCTGTCATATGTGAAAGAAATTATCATATCAATTTGTAGAGTTCTTCTTTTTTCTTTCAATTTTTACCTGAAAATAATTTATTTTCAATTTGTTACTAAATTTATTTTTAATTCACTACTAAATTTGTTTTCAATTTATTTAATTTATTACCAAATTTACCAATATTGTTAAGTTTACGTTCATACAAATTTGATTAAAAATTTAATTTCATGGTAAAAATGAAAAATTTTCATTCTTGTCAGTTTAGCAAAAAATTCTTCCTTCTTTTTCTTTGATTTCAAGAATCTGATTGTTAGGAGATAGGGATAAATCAAGATGAATATTTAAAATATTTTGAATTTTTTCAAATGAAATAATATCACGTGTTTGGACTTGAATACGAGATTTTATTTAAATTTTTCACTAGTCATATCAATTTGTTGCTGTCGTTCATAGATAACAAATATGAGATAACATTTTCCTTTCGGATAATATTTATGAATATTATTTCTTTTACCTTCATTCCAATAGTAAAACGACTATAAATATTCATATACAGATTTTTCGAATTTTTAAAAACGTTTTTAAAATTTCAAACGTGAGCATAAAGTTTTTGTTACGATTTTGACAAGTGTATCAGTGCATTATATAGTTTTACGATTGAAGATGATTCACAAGTTTTGAACGTTCAAATGAAAGAAATAATTTTCATTAAAAATATATTTCCATTAAGGAATTTTTCATTTAATGTAATTTAATTCATTTTTTATTAAAAATATTTTTATAAATTACTGATTATAATCAGAAAAAAAATAAAAACCTTAATTTAATATTTAGAAACATTATAATTAATTTTTTTTGATAAAAGTGACACAAAATTATTTGAACGATTAAATTTTGAGGAAATTCTTGGAAGTAAGAAATTGATAATTGATAGATAATTATAATCGTCGAATTACTTTAATGACTAGATTAATACTCTTATCAAATATTAATTTACTAATTGACCAATTAACTTACTACTTCTTAAATTAATTAAATTATCGATTATTATTATTATAATTATAGTTATTATATTATTAGTACCTATTATTATTATTTATTATTTTATTATTATTATTATTATTATTATTATTATTATTATTGTTTATTATTATTATTATTACTTTTATTATTATTATTATTTTTTTTTTTTTTATAATGATTTAATAACGAGAAACGTCACTGACAGTGAAAAAAATTGATTTGATTCAAATAACTGATTACTTGCCTATTCTCAAATAAATATTTACTCGAAATAAATAATTTTTATTTTAATCAATGAAATGGTATTATTTGCTTCAAGCACTGAAATTATTGGTTTAAATAACAATTTATTTCAAACACAATTTGATTTAAATAAAAATTATTCTATTCAAGTAAATATTTATTTGATAATAGACCAGTAATAGGTTATTTTTGAATGAAATAAATTTTATTTTCCAGTGTAAAAATTAAAATTGTATTAAATTTCTTAGATATTTTATTTTATTTGAATGAAATAAATTTTATTTTCGAGTGTAAAAATTAAAATTCAATTAAATTTCTTAGATATTTTTAAATTTGTACATAGCGAGTGTTAAGTATTGGAAATTGATTGTTAAAATTCTAGAAAAAATATTTGAGATTTGGCTTAAATTTAATCAACGATGAAGCTCAATTTTACTGACCTGCTCCCGACTCATACTTATTACACAATTTACAGAGGTTGCAATTCAATTTTAAGTCAATTAGCAATCTAGCTTAATTACTTAGGTTATTGAAACGTATACATTTTTAAGAATTGTGTATGTATTCGATAAAGCAGCGTCATTAATTTTTCGAGTCCTCATTTTTTCCTATTGTGCAATATTTGAGTAATTCAAAGGATTTTATAATTTATTTATTGAACAAATATTTTGCTATATAGATATTTTTTTTACTTGTTCTACATATTTTCATTGAGTAATTTTTTTGTATTTTATAGTTTTAGTTTCTTTCCAGTATTTTATATTTTTTTCGTATTTAAGGTTTAGTTTTCTCTATTTAAGGTTTAGTATTTTTTGTGCTTAAAATTTAGTTTTTTGTTTTAGGTTTAATTTTTTTTTGTACTTAAAATTTAGTTTTTTTATTTTAGGTTTAATATTTTTTTGTACTTAAAATTTAGTTTCTTTGTACTTAAAATTTAGTTTCTTTGTACTTAAAATTTATTTTTTTGTACTTAAAATTCAATTTTTTTTGTACTTAAAATTTAGTTCTTTTCGTATTTTAGAATTAGTTTTTTTTTATTCAACAGTAAAATTCGTTTAAGTACATTGCCAATGTTTTTCTTACTACGTCGGGAAAAAAAAAAATCGAAGCCTGTTTGGCAAATTGAGGAAAGTTGAAGTTAGAAGTGTTTGTAGGTTCAAAGAATAAGGTTTATTATGCTCTCTTGTTTCACTTATCTTAAAAGTTTAAAACGATTATTACTCCTGCCAGCAATCACTCAGTGGGACCAATTAGTTTGGTATTGCTATATATACAATTCGCTTTTCTCCTTCAAAGTTTCTCCTCTATACCGGCTTCCTGGTTTTGATAAAGCAAAATCAGTTTCGCTCAATAATAACTTTTTCAGATAGTAAAATTATTTTTAAATACCAATCTTTCCACCACGATAGTTTATTTTGTATTTGTTGTCTAATATACTTACATCATTCGCAATCATACACATTTGTCTACTCATTTTCTCATTTTTTTCCGTACAGAAAAATATTTCTTTTCGTTACCTTTCTTTATAGTGGAAAACGATTTTTTTTTTTTTTTTTTTTTT